CTTCGTCCCCCCCCCCCCCCCCCCCCCCTTAAGACCCCCTTAAGGGGGTGACCCTTAAGCCCCCCCTTGAAGCCCCCCTTAAGCCCCCCTTGAAGCCCCCCTTAAGCCCCCCCTTCGTCGAAGGTCCGGGGCCCAGCCCCCGAATCTGCGGGGTGTCTCTTCGAACTGGCTCTCAAACAAATTTTTCGGGTCCAAGGCACTAAAGTGCAGACCGATCTGCTTTTGCTGGGATCCAAGCTTCCCTTTTGTTCGTTTCGAGATTTCCAGCAGTCTGGAGCCCGCCGGAATCGCAATCACAACCGGAAATTTGGTAGATTCCCAAGTTGGAAAGATGCGCTTTGTAATTCCCTCCGCGGTAATCAAGATTTTGTCCGCCATGAGTGGCTGCTTTTTGAGTACTTAAATGGTAGAGAATGTTCGATAACTTAAACCACAAGGTTCTTTGATTGAGAAATTCTTTTTGCCCTCCAAAATATCGACAATCCCAAAACAAGTCTCATATAAGAATTCTCTTTGCAGTTTTGGTGCCACAAAATCATATTTCAAAACTTTTATTTTTTTTTTGCGCATGCTTAACGAAACTTCCGGACTTGTTGTGCAACATGCAGTACCACTCTGCGCAATATGCTTCTCTTCTTCGCCAGCAAGAGGCATGCAGCGCATTGGAAACATTCTCCACCTCATCGATTCCAATGTGGAACTGATGCTCTTGCTGGATGACAGACACGCCATGTGGCCCTCTGGCACAACATTGCTCAGACCAGATGCACCGCTCGCGGTGGAAACCATCTTTCTTCGCTTGGAGCCCACCTGCATAGACATAGCTCTCAAGAGCCCAGATAGTGGCCTTCTTTTCACAAAGTCTAGTCTAGAGGTTTCTTTTTGCAGGTCTGGGCGAGCCGATGCCGGGCCTCCCCCTGGGGCTAGTCTCGAGTCTCTACAGATGCAACACGGAAAACGAGTGCTAGGTCATGTGCTAGAGCAGTGCAAGCCCATCTGAACTTGAGACGTTCGATGTCTATCAATCCCACATTGTGTGCCACTGTCCACTGCTTGAGCGCGACAATAACTAGGTTAGCTCTGCTCTTCAACAGACTAATGAGCTTCGGCTTCGGGCTTGCTTCAACAGGCAAATGCTTGTCGTTCGAGTGGCTTCGCTTCAATGTCAAGCATTTATCTCTAGGTTGAGAGGTTCTGGGACCGACGTCCCAGAAAGTGTTGCTACGGGGGCCCTGAAGCTCACACCCACAAGAAGCTGTGCAAGCACCTATTTTAGCGTTAGCGCCTCGAGGGCACTTGCTTTCGTTTTCCTTTCTTCTGATGATTGACCAAAGTGGAAAAGGCTCATTTGGTGGTCGCCCTGCCTTGCTTGGTACAGGCGAGGAAAAGACATCTCGCTTCGAACGGAAGTGAACGATTTCCGCGCCGTAGCACTTAGCAATGTCGTATCTCCTTCTCACCTCATAATGTACCAAGTCTTGTGGAAATCATTTTGGCGTCGATGAGACAATGATGAGCTCATTCGAAACATCCATTAACTGGAGAATGTCTTTAACTCTGGTTGGTATGGGATCGATTACGGCAATTCTCATGCTTGCTTTGGCACAAGCAGACAGACTTGTCTTGTGACATCATCTGCATGGAGGGTGCAGACTCTTGCAGTATCAGCTGCAAAAGTGTCCTCCTCTTCCACGACTGAAGAAGATGAAGCAAGCGCAATGTCAACGTGCAATGCTTTGCCCACAACATGTTCGATGAAGTGTCTCCGCAACTCTTTGCAAGTATCAATAGCAGCGAATGTCACAAACAGAGATGGTCGATGGCAAGCGAAATCTCAGGTGTGCTAAAGCCCGCGCAACGCGCAAACGCAGCTCTAAACCAGCTAGAGCAGTTGCCTGAAGGGTTCAGTGCAGAAAGCACTTAGCAAGCACGAGATCTGCGCAAGAGGCAAGTTCAACACAAGCAAAACAGACACCTTGTGCCGCACTTACCAGCAGATCTATCGCTTCATGACAGGGAAGAAACGAAGATTTGACTGCGGTCAAAAGCACTTACCTCACTTTTCTGCGGAACAGTTCGGATTAAGCAGACCCACGTCAAGGCACTACACACTGCTAAGCAGAACAAGTAGCACTCCGAAGGTACACACAGAAGCGTGTAAGGGCACAGAAAGACGAGCGATGCTTACCAAGGCGCAACCCACTGCTAAGACAGGGCTGGTTGGCCGTGTTCCAGTCTCGCGCGAGCAAACTGCAAGCTACACTCCCCAGGGTCTTGGAGCCTCTACAGTTAGACACAGGGCGAGCTGGAAACGCATTATTCTTGAAAAGCTTTTTGCGAATGCTGTTTTTAAACGCTTTGATGTAAAAATGCTTTTTGCAAATGCTGTTTCGAAACACCTTGATTTAGAAACGTTTTCTTCCTCGAATGCTTTTTACAAACGCCTTTATTTAGAGCCGCTTTTTGCGAATGCTTTTCAAAGAATATACTCTTCTTCATGGCTGGCGTTTGCCGGCGGTTGTTTTAAATTCATAACCATATGCCATAGTCCCTATAGCGTAGGGCGTGCTCGCACGAAACTGGCTCGGGGTTTCTGGTTCATATACAGCCTGCATGGTCAAAGCGGGAATCCACTTGGTGACGCCATCCCGCGGCTTTGACAGGCCCAAAAATGTGCGGAGCCTCAGGGTGTGTTGCCAGCAAAGCACAATGTGAGCGGAGAGGGCAGGTGCAACAGTTACTACAGGGTCGCAAGAGAACACAGGAACGAAATGCACTTATTGGTTTGTTTTTTTTCTCCCCGTTCGGTGTTTGTGTGGACGCCGCCAAGCCAGTGGATTGGGGTAATTGCGATTTTGAGAGCTAAGGTCACGACTATTGCTGTTGGTGTATTGGACGCTCTGGATCCGGGTGTCAGCGTATGTCAAGCCTCAGCCAACTCCATGGAACGTGGGCTGTTCCCCGGTATCAGGTGCCTCGGCCGGTGATGACAGGTCTTCAGAAGCCTTCACAGAGAGCTGCATTTTTCCGTTTTTGATGTGTTTAAGATCTAAGACTGTTCTTGTTTCAATCTCAAGCCTGAGGCTCATGTGCAGATCGGGATGCCATGCAGCAGTGCTCATCAGCCGGAACGGTGTGCCGCAACACAGATGCCAACACACACGGCTGTTGTTGCAACAAGACGTTGTTATTCTCGCCCAATCAGGCCAGGTGCTTCATGGACGAAGCATGTAACCTGAGATGTGTCGAGCCCGTGTTTTACAGTGGCCGACCAGTTTTCCCCAAGATGTGCAATGTTGGGGCATTCTGCAAGCTCAGTACACAGGGGAAACGCAAGAATTGCGGGACGACGCTGCGTCCCGTGAAGAAGATTTCCAAGAAACATGGCCAGTGCTGTGTCGACCCGGATCTTTCAATCGACGAGCAGACAACGAAAGGTTGTTGCAACCATGGTGTTGGTATTGATTGCACCGATCGACACAAGCGGCCGTGCTGTCTGGGTGTTACCAACTCATACGACCATGATCCGCTTGACTGGTGCCAGCGGAACTGCACTGGGCCGGCAGCTCAGTTGATCACCTTGGCGGTTTAAGAACCCAGAGGCATTGAATGGCATGGAAAGTTTGGATTGTTGGTCTGTTCATAGCCTTCCATGCTATTATAGTTAGCAGCGCGACATATTTCAGCACTCAAACTCTAAAGACCGCTGTGAAGTGCACCTACAGCCAACTGCTTTGGGAACACCTCTGCAGCGGCTTCTAGACGTTGAGCTGGAACGCGTAAGGATTGCAAGCGGATCTGGTAACCTGCTGTGTCTGTTACTGTGCCTTCGACCTTCGAACATCACATTGGCATGTCCCCACCACTAGGTGTGAACCCAGTCTTGTACTCTGCGTGAACAAAAGCAATCCTCTGGCAAGTATAGAGGTCCGACCTGAGAACAGTCTGAGGGTTTCGGCCTTAGTTTTCAGAGCCGGGATGTTTCAGCATGTTTCTTCTTGAGCTCCATCTCAAATGCATGCGCACGCAGATGACTATATGGTGCACACTGTGGAGCAGCATGACGTGCTTCCTGCCTGCTCCTGCAACGATTCAACCTGACGAGCCTACGGTAGTTGCAGAAGATGCAGGCACTAAGCCAAATAGAGGCAAGGGAAAGGGATTTGTACGACTTTGAGGTGGGATATTGTATCGACCAGAGAACATCCGCATTGCCAACACACACACACACACACACACACGCATTTTTTGGGAATAATAATTACTCGTACTGACCCCAGGTTCTGATTGCTTGCAAGGTCCTTGATGACTCTGCGTGAAGGAAGAGAGCACCAGCAACAAGCATATTCCAGTTTGAAGCAACCAGCCTCGACTGACGCGTGGTGCTAGCTGCAAGCTTTTCTGGACCGAGGCAGAAGACATGTGCCAATGGCTATGGCTTCGACTGTCGGGGATCGCCAGAGCAACCTGGAAGTGAAGGGAAACGACATTGCTGCTTGAACAGTAGGGGCGGCTTGTTTGCACTGTTGGGAAGGCTGTGTTGCAATATGCCGTGCGGTTGAGCAATCACCAGTTCACCCGCTTGAGCTCACAGCACGGAGCCCAGGAACGGTTTCTCCACATGATCGCTGTCAGCGCCAGCAGCGTGACTGCCTAAGTCGCTATGCTCCTTGCCCTCTTGACAGTAACGGCATTGAGAGCCTTGGGCGTGACTGCAGCAAGTCTTCCCAGAATCCTTCGGAGTACATGTGCTGCATTTCAAGCTCGAACTCAGCTTGTCGCAGCTCTTGCGACGGATACGTTTGGGAGCAAGTGGCAAGATTTGCTCTTTTCACATGTGGTGGCGTGGCAACCTTTGCCATCTTCCTTTACGTCTGTTATTGTTGCACCCGGTACTGCGGCAGGAAGGGGCAAGATTGGGCCCGATCTATTTCACACATGCAGACAGTGAGAGTGGTGGAGCGAGGGGGAGGACGTGAGTTACACGCCATTCCCTATAAAGAGCACTACGCTTTCATTGCCACTGCACAAGACTATGGTCAGGCCACAGGGTATGCATCACTTCGAAATCCAAACTGTGATGGTGAAAGCATCGAGAGTTGCTTGCGAAGTCACGGATACGACCGGAATCACGTACTTCGAGTTCCTAGCGCTACCAAGACTCACTTCCTGTCCAGCTTGAAGCAAGTTGTCCAGAGCATGCAAGGCAAAGACCGGGTACTTGTGCTGGTATTCATGTCTGGCCACGGTAATGAGGTGCTCGGATCCCTAGCGTGGGCTGGCGAGGATGTGGTCAACGGTGACCATGATACCTACGTGTTCCTTCCAGAGATCTTTCAGGACCTGCGGGAAATTCACACGCGGCAAGGAGCCGCCAAATTTGGTTGCGAGCAAGTGATCTCAAGAGCGCATTTCGTCTTCTTCTTGGACTGCTGCAGGGAGGTCCGGACACCAAGTGCGAAGCTGCCTGACCAATGGAAATCGCGGCGTGCCTCACCCTTTGCAGATGGCAACCGGGCTGCTATCTCGTTGGTGTATGCAACGAGCCGGGGGTGTCTGGCTCAAGACGCCAGCAAGGCCTCGCCAAACCATAGCCCCTTTGCTCGCGCGTTCGTGGAGAGTGCGAGGGATTTTCAAACTCTTCCGGAGTTGCTGCCGCGGATGAAGGACGCACTCGAACAAGCATCGGGGGCCCGCCAGGCAATCGAGCTCGTTCAACTTGATTACAAGGCAGAGATCACCACCATCTTTCCGCTCGAGAGCCAGGAGAATGATATCCGAGAGCACTCCAGCCAACCTTTGCTGTCGACCATATCGACTTCTACCGGACAATCCTCAGCACAGGACGGACCACAAGTGTCAACGTCCTCGGCCTCCATGGTGTAAGCCAAGTAGTACCTAGTGAGTCACCGTACAGTTTGGAGAGCCGCAGCGCTGGCTGGGAAAAGAATGGTGGCGCCACGAGTGTGAGTAGAGCTGGCAGGCTTTGCGCATGTGCATATCCGCAAGCTCAAAGCGCCTTGCTGACCTGTCTTCCACTTCCTGTTGTGCCCGTGTGCATCATGGTTGAAGGTGGCAGGGAAACGCTGGACAGGGAGTTCCCTGACTCCCATTCAACGCCTGAAAGAGTGACCTATAGATTTGAGTCTGTCGTCCGGAGCGGACTCACCATGGGCGACCTGAAATTGGAGGCCCCAGCCAATTGCAGATGCATCGTCCTTCAGGATGCTTGGATGTTCTGAGAGGATGGTTCGCAGATGCCCTCAATATATATATATATATATATATATTTATGTTTATATGCACAAATATATACATATACATATACATATACATATACATATACATATACATATACATATACATATACATATACATATGCATAAATACATAAATACATAATTACATAGATACCTAAATACATAATGACTTAGATACATAAATACTTAAATACCTAAATACCTAGATACATAAATAAATAGACAAATCCATACATGGATGGATGGATGGATGGATGGATGGATACATAGATCGATAGATAGGTAGATAGATAGGCACATAGATGATAGGGTGTTTTATGTTTTATTTAAAGAATACAGAGCCTTCTGAATCAAGCTCGGTGCTATGGTTTGAACTGAGGAGCAGATCGCGCACCTCCTGAGAGTCAGAGAGGAGTGCTCGCCACATCAAGTCCAGGTGTGGCATCGTGATCGCAGACTTGGGCGAGAGGAGATCTGCGACCAAAACCAGGTGTTCGATGCAGTTATTGAAGAGGAGACTTTGGACCAGAAGGTGCAAGCCCTCTTGGATCGGACGGAAGATCCTCTACTCCAAGAGAAGATTCGGGAAGTTATCGAACGCTTTAGGGATGCGCCGCACGAACGAGCAGGACAAGCAGATCAATCTGGTCAAATGGAGTGCCTGCTTGAATTCTTTGAGAATTATCTGCTTGACTCTGCGAGTTGGAAGGGTGCTGGAGAGGATCTCTTGGAGTATGCGAAGGGTTTTCTGGAGTGCAACTCACACCCAGGAGTCCCAGAAAGTGCTTTGGGCGAAGAATGGCCCAGCTTCCATGTAAAGGATTCTACGACGTCTACTTGTACATAGCCAATGGACGGAGGCCGCCGTTGCCACAAAGCAGTTTGCACCTGATGGGATGCTAGCTGTTCGCCCAACATGCCTTGCTGCAAAACGGGGCAGGTGCCAGAATCTGATAGAATCTTCAACACGTAACTATGAAAATTTGATTTGCGTTGACAGGCTATACCAATCAACTTGAGGCCAGATGTGCTGCTCGATCGAGCGGCATCTGCAGGCATAGCAGACTGCTTGTGAATCGAGACCCATGATGGTTCAGGCTAGCCAGGTATACTAGCATGTAGAAGCAGCTACGCATCTACAAGTTCTACAAGCCTTGTATTCGTTCGCGGTAAACAGTGATAATTTCGTCTGTGACGACCTATGCGAGTGAATGCTATTGCAATGCCGTATCAGTGTTGAGCAGCTGAGCTGTCAGTTCCAGAATTAAAGCAGCGTCAAGCAAGATGCATCGGCGTCGATGTCAACAACAGATACTCGACATGGCATAACTGTCAGCCTGAGATCGTAGTCGGCTGTTTAAGACAGTTCATGGTTTGATCCATGGCTAAGGTGAAGAGCTTTAAAGGCTTCGGAGTGGAGGCTTGCTGCAGAATGGCTCCAGTTTTGCACATGCCCTAGCGTCTGTGCCTTTCGCTTGCCGTGGAGCCGAATGGAGTGCCGGGTCCAGGACGGGAAGACATTTGTCAACATCCAGGACCTTGGAGCTTAAAAGTTCTGAGGTTTGGTTCAAAGGTTAGGGTACTCGCATGCTGCTCGACTGACAGAAACAACTTCTATTCCTCACATGGTGCCGGGATCGTGAGGAATTAACGCCTAAACCCCAAACTCCAAGCCTCAAGCCCGAAACCAGGACCCCTACGTGACGCCTGGGGCTCACAGCAACACCGTCGTCAGCTTCTCCTTCCTGGCCGCCTTGCGCCTTGCCGGATTCTTCTTCCTCCTCTTCGCGGTGTCCAAGCGGAAGCGGAAGCAGCCCTCGGTTGCTTGGAGGATCATGGGACTTGGTAAGGCTATAAGTACCTTGATGGGAGTTGTAAATAGTTACATAGTTACAACTATAGTTGCCTTATTAATAACCCTAATTACTAGGTCCCATGATGCTTTAAGTGCTTGCATGCAGATGTCGCCCTTTCTATGAGGCTTAGGTTAAGGGATACTAAAAAAGGATTCGATAGGAGGATACCACAAGTTGTTTTGCTTTTTGACAGTGCTTACCTTGGTCTGCCATACTTTTGTTGGGACACATGTGTGGCTTGATTATATTGCAACTGGGCATGTGTGTACAGGCGCGCAGTGGCTTAGGCAGTAGCTTCCGGACGTGGGCCCTGAAAGTTGCATGCTCTTCATTGAATGAAACATTATGCATTCCTGGAAACGAAGCGCGAATGTGACGTTGCGCATGCATCAGACAAAATGTCATAGTCTCGACATGGACCAGCGTCTTAGGAATTCTGAGATGGTGTGTCCTGCAATGCCTTCAGCCATGCAAGTGACAAAAGCGCAAGCGGCAAAAACACCTGTTCTGAGGATGTGTGCTACTTGCTCTGGCTTTTCTTGGCTGCTGCGGGCTATTGCCTCACAGCCGTGATGGCTTCGGTGGCAGTTGCCGGTGAGAGCGCAGCCACAAGTTTCGCAAAGGCTGAGGGAACACCAAACGATGCAGGGAGATACAGAAGCGAGAAAGACAGAACGAGGCCAACAGAGGAAAAGATGGCAAGCGATAGGAAAAGAGGGAAAGCTAATAAACGTTATGAGCACAACACAGAGAGAGAGAGAGAGAGAGAGAGAGCGACGTGTGCTCAGCACTGCTTTCGACTGTCAGGGGGACAAGGCTGCTAATTCAATAGGTGTCCCAAAAGTTGCATCACTTCTCGGACCGGGGGGACCTCAAACCTCTTAGCTCCACGGGTACGTAAGTGGACTGGCGGTCGGTACGTTAGTGCGTTAGTGGAGTGGCTTCCCTCGGTACGTTCTTCACACCCCTGCGCACGTGCCCCACAAACATGGGGGGGCCTAAGCGGCCGGGGGGCTTGGCAAGCTCCCAAGACCCTGTGGAAGAAGCAGAAGAAGAGAGAGAGAGCGGCAGAGACAGAGACAGACGAAGACAGACAGAGAGACGACTAGCCTACTTGCTCTGGTGTGGTGCACTTTGACTCTCCATGCCGCCTTCCCTCTCAAATCCATCCACCTCCTGATCCCTATCTTGAAATATAGCGGTATTCCTTGGCTGTCAGCGCAACTTCCTTCGATGCGATTGCAAACATGTCACGGACGCACGGGTCTGCAGGCATCAATCTTTTTTGCCGTTCACATCCATCGGACACCTGTATGTATCAAACCTGTTCGGCCAATTTGCTCTCTTGTAGAATATTCTAGCACATTACAATGTTTGGTATTATATGATAGTATATTGGCGACAATATGAAAAATAGATAAATAAGTAGATAAATATATACATATGTATATATACACATACAGGCATAGAAAGAAATTACACATAAACATAAATATAAATAAATGAATAGATACATAAATATATACATATATACACATACATACTCTACAGTCTAGAACAGAGGACCGTCGGCAACACACGCACCTGAGTCTCCGAAAGACCAGGCCATAGCCTTTAGCCCAAAATCTGTGTAAACATCGTAGAATGTAAACCCTTGAAGACCTACAAAACCAACAATCAACACCTTGCTGCTAACACTGTCCTCCGCAAGCCCGCATCCATATCCTCACGGCAGGTTCTTGTCGTTCTTTCCTGGGGCCCGCTGATGCTGAGTGTATCTAGCACGCTGGAGAGCGTCTGGCCGACCCTCGTCGGTTTCCTAAACCTTCCATCTTCCCCTCTTTCCCTCCGGTGGATCCCCAGCACTTACTATGAGGGGCCATGGAGGGTACAAAGACGGTCCTGTTGTGGTGTTTCGGTTTGAATATTCTCCCTTTGAGGAACAACCTAAATACGCCAAAAGCCTGTAGCCCAAGGAACAAGTGCCTAGCACGAACATCTGCGGTTGTGTACATGCTCGCCGTCGTCAGCGGCATGTGTCTTGGCAGCGAGAAGTTTTGGCGTAGTGTTTGGGGTTTGTTTCGGGTGTGTCAGGATCTGGGGTTACAGGATGTAATGTAGGGTCTTGCTGGTCTTCCTAACCGTAAGCCCCTCATACCCTAGACCCTAAACCCTCAAGCCTACTGTCTGTTTGCTTATTTTTTTGTGCGGGTGTTTGTGTCTTGTTCCTTTTCGCCCCCTGTGCGGCCCGAAAGTTTCCTGAAGTCATGAGAGTTTTTTGTGACACCCCGCGACATAGTATGATGATGGTGGTGGTGATGCTTACTATTGTTATGATTATCGTTATTGCGGTTTGTATACATTATTGTCATCATTATTGCTGTTGTTATTGTTAATGTAAGTAAGTGTTATATTGTTTATTATTATTATCGGCCCTAAACCCTCAAGCCTATCATTTTTTGTAAGTGTTTTCGGCTGCCCGCTCGCGTTTCCACCTGCTCCCGCAGCAGTCCCGCACCCAGTGTGCATCTTGGTCGTGCTCCGTCGCTGTTCGGGGCATACACTTGCTTACCGACCTTACCTCTCTCCCTCTCTCCTTCTTACCCCGAGTCTGTTCATTTGTAGCCGCCGAACTGTATGGGAGTTTCCGAAAATAGGGGACCCTAATATAGTACCCTAAACAGTAGGATCCTTATTATAAGGACCCCAAGACAAGGTACCCTAATTTTAGGAAACTCCCGTATCGGACTTTTGCTGAGGCTTGTGGTCTTGATGTTCCCGCAAGACAACAACCAGGTCGTGCTCCTGGTGTTCTCCGGGTTGGCCTTTTTGCTTCCCATCTCCTGGTGCATTGTGCACAAGCATACGCAGGATACGCCTTTGGGGGAGCTCTGGCAGAACACGGTTGATGTGACAAATCCTGCATTTACCCATCGTAAGGAATATACCATGACTCCCATAGTTTAGGGCCCTTGCGTTAATGCAGGATTTGTATCATCAACCGTAGGATGGGATTTCGGCGGGAGTAAGCCCGAGCCCGAGCCCGAGCCCTGAAGCCTCAACTCCGGACTCGGAGCAGTTCCACGCACCGAATCCGAGGACGTGCACGGCCTTAGAGTAGTATGAATGCTGTTGATGAAATACATCCTATGAGCTTAAGTGCTAAACTAAGGGAGTTGTTATATTCCTTATTATGGGTAATGCAGGATGTATATCATCAACCGTAGGTCCCCAAAGCCTGTTCTACTTTTTGAGGCCCCGATACTCGTCAGGCAGCAAGGTTCGGCATCTCCCACAGCAACGTACCAAGCGTAAGGCCAAGGCCCAGACTTAGACCCCAGGCTCTTCAGCGCCAGAGGGTTGAAACTTCGAGACCCCAGCTGCCTCCATGAACCAAGGAAAACCTCATTCGGGCCCTTCTCGCTGTCAGCTGCACCTCCGGATGCATTTGGATTGAAGGTGTGGGGGGGGGGGGGGGGGG